TATATATATATATATATATATATATATATATATATATATATATATATTTGAGTTTCATTAATGTTACGCTATATTATATTTATATGTTTGAAACACACATGGACACGCCTTCTTCGTATAGCGCAGCGTGTAAGGTGTTGGACTTCTGATCGTGAGATTGGGAGTTTGAGACCGACGCTCGTTGCATTGCTTTTGTCCTTGCGGAAGACACTGTAATTACGTTTGCCTTTCTTCACCCAGGAGTGTGATTGGGGGGGGGGGGGGTCATGCTGTTAACCCTGGTACGACTCTTAATTAATAACAGCAACTTGATATGCGATTATTCTTTACAAGAAGAAGGCATAGATATGCGACATGGGCACAGATGTTCCGGTCCTATCGTACGTAGTGAGACTATCACAAGTGACAGGAAAAAATGGTTGATATATTTATTTGAGCACAAATATTTTGGTTGCCCCTGCAACCTTCATATATAATGTATGTTCATATATATCAAGGATTCCAAGTTTTCCACAATTTGCGGGAGACTCCCGGAAATCGGGATGGCCTCCTGCATTCTGGCAAGCAAGCAAGAAACTCCTGGAATATAACCCATCTCCCGCAAATTCATAATATTTGCATATTTTCACTGCTTTATTATCAATCGGCTCATGGAAGGCAGTGCCAATTGGTATCACTATGTGCAACAAAGTCAAATCAGATGTGAAAACTCATTTAACCAGATCTCCTGTAGCGACTTCTCCTAACTTGGGACCCCTGTACATATACACTGTATTACAGTATTTATAAAAATTTATTAAATCCCTAAATTGTTCTCCGCACCCTGGGCCTCCTCCGAGTGGTTCTGGGTGGCCTCACCCACTTGCACTTGTGTCGGTCCTGCCATCTGGGACTTTATTTTGAGTCTTGTACAAGATTTTCATTGGAACCAATATGTAAATGCCAACCATCATTATTATTATTATTGCTAGTTTAGAAAGGTTTAGACAAAATAATTAAAATCTAAAATCAAATAGCCAATTCTTCATTGTCAGGCTGATTTATTTGCAGTACTAAATACATAGTTATATAAAAACATATAATATAAAATGAGATGTACCTTTCTGAAACTTTTTTTTTCAATGCATACACAACACAATGAAGAACACTCTTTATACACATTTTCTGTACAGATTTGTTCTGGAGGCCAATTATTATATTGTTAGCTTGTGAATTCTAGATGCTCTCTCATTAATAATTAAGAGCTTCTCTCATACCTTGGAATTGTTGATATTGCAAGTACTAATTATATGATGTCTCAAATGAAAGATCACAGATAATTCCTGAATTGTAACTTTAGCGTTAAGGAAAAATAACAAAAAAGTAATATTTAAGTTAGAAGTTCAATTTCTTTTTCTTTTTTTATAAAATAACTGTGAATCCAGCACAGAACCATTCCGAATATTAATAAGCTGTTTAAAAACATGAACAGTATAGTAAAATTAACAGTATATTACATTTCAAAGAATAAGGTTTTTAAGTGATAGTCCCACATAATCACGTGACAATGAATTGCCATCCTACATTAATCCTGCTAATGTAGCTCTAGCCATTGGCTCCATTTATCTTAACCCAATAACCACACAGAGCTGCTATTGGTCCATACACTGGATTTTCATCACTGCTAGCAGTAGACATGCATTTTTTTAAATAAGTATTATTTAATATTAAACACTGAAGCTTATTTTAAACTAACTATTAGATTGACAACCAACCTCAAGTATTAAGGTGCAAAAGTGTGAGGGCACCACATTTAAGTCATATTGTGGCATCCTAAGTCTTCTCAATAATAATAATAATAATAATAATAATTGTTCCATTTATATAGTTTGTGCAAAATATCCTTCAATTATAGGTGAAATTCATAAAATTAAGTTTAAAAAGCATTTGAATGAAACGAAAACATTGCAATGGAACTTAATGAATTAGTTACTTATCTATGGAATATTTAACACTGAAAATGGAAATGCATTATATCACACTTAAAGCTACAAATGAAATAAATATTGGAAATATAGTTTATTTTTGGAATTATGCAAAAAAAATACATTAAAATACTGCTCAATTAATGCCTAATATCAAAAGTAGGAACAATAAATTGCTGATACTAGAAGTAACCATGTAACCATTTAGGATCAATATGATATAAATATTTGAAGAAATAAATATTTTTAATATGCTAATATCATAGATGGCCCTCTTAAAGACAGCCTAGAGTACATGCTATGTAAAAAAAAACAAAAAAAAACAGGCTATCCAAAATGCATTTCATTCTCATAAAACTTTTGTTGGTTTACTTTCTGTAATGGGGAAGCGTGATTGAATGCCCCTAGATAACATTTTCCCTATAAGTTCGCACCTTCTTCTCTCTGGCACCTTAAGAAAAGTAAATTTATATTTGATATACATAATCTTTTTTTCATTTTCAATATCATTTCTTAAGTTTGTGCAAATATATATGTTTTTATTTCAAAGAGTTGTATTAACTACAATTGATTGTTCATTGGTTGTTTTTATTTATTACTACTCAATTTCTATACTCTTTGAATTCTATCTCTTTGATTTTCTATTCTACTACAAAAGGATCACTAATAATTGCATTTTACCGACAAGAACGACATAACTTTCACCAAACTAATACCACGGACATGTTTTAAACAATTTCAAAGCAGTACTGTTCATAGGCTAACCACTTTCTAAAAATTGTACATTCTGAAATTATTTCACTATACAGAGGAGATATGAAAAGTATCCATTACAAACAAATCACCATACAGTAGGTATTGCATTGTATTTCTCTATAAAAAGGGAGACTGGAAGATTTTAGATGAAAAATTTCTGGTAAAAATATATAATCTGTGGTGAAATGGAAAAAAACCCTTAAAAATTCAATGAAACAATTGAATTGCTCATTTAAAAGAATAATATAATTATCTACTTCCAATGGGGCACATATTAAGTTTATCATGGTTTACATTTTACTACAAACATCCTTAATATTGATTAGTCAATCTAAGAATATATGTTAAAAATATATTAACTGAATTATTTTACTCTCCATTATAGGAACCAGATGATTTTTTCCAGTGAGCATTATTTTGTTGTTGTTTATAGCCAAGAAAACTAATGTTTAATTGAAAGCTAATAACTTTAAAGTAAGCAATTCAAAAATCTAATTTAATTTTCAATGTTTTTTAGCCTAACAGAGAGAGTATATAATTAAAGTTATACTCTCTAAACCTGCCAGCAAAGTTTGTTTGGCCTGCTTTTAAGTAATTCTCCCTTTTGTGCCTTCTTTGAACTCCATCACGCCACATGTAGCCTTCCTCGTTGACAGTCTCGATCTACCATATGGGTAAGTGTAACAACAGGTAACGAGAGGGTGCTTTATGGACTATCCACTGCAAGTTTACCAGTTGGTGGTCCTCAAAAAAATCATAATTTATTAAATATTTACAATGACTATGAAATTGTCAATGTTGTCCTCATAAATTTAGACCCCGCATTGGAAATTTGATTACAAAGAATAACTTAACCAATTGTTAAGGAAATACATGTACATCTGCAAAATAATGTTACATTTAGTGTTTTCGACATAACCTACACAAGATAAATATTTAGCACATCTTTTGCTAACATTTTTATAACACATTAATAGACCGATTTGGTAATGACTGTCACGTGACCTACTTGGGTGTTGGATGTAAAAAATGGACTGGCACAGCTGTGTTTACATGGAGATTGCTAAGGTGGCTGTTATTGTTGTAATAATCGTCATATTTGCTGTATTTGTTATTTTGAATGTGATTTAAGTTACTTAAAGTTGATTGTTGATGTCCCAAAATTCACCACACAAACTTTGTGTGACTGGTTGTCCATAGGCGGATTCAAGGGGGGGGGGGAGCCTGCCCAGGCTCCCTCCCCCAAAATGAGAAAAATGAAAATTATATTCCATCTGTGAAAGTCCCTCTTTGGGCCCCTCTATTTCAAATTCCTGGATCCGCCACTGTTGTCCAAGGGAAATCGGGATAATGACAGCAAATCTTAGTCATATTTCAAGGAAAAATATGTCGGTAGTTTGGTCTGTACTACAGCACCCTGTGCGGTAAAGCACATGATGATGAATAATCGGTTGATAGGCCAGTAAACTATACCAAGCACATGATGATGAATAATCTTGGTTGATATACCAGTAAACTATACCAAATTGATTGGAAATTGAACTTGAGAATTTTTCCTTAATGATTTTCTGATGCTCCAAAGGATACTGGCCTCAAACATTGAGATTTTTCGACAAATGTTAGGCCTAGGTCCCTGCATATCTACGGCCTGTTTAGGTATGAACGAGAGTCTTCGACTCGCGAACCATGCTACAATTTCTAGGCTAGCCAAGTTTTTCTAGGCTAGCCAAATTTCAAAGCATACAATGCAAGAAGAACGCTAGAATCAGTAAATAGACACTATTTTGAACAATCGTATTGCCTTTCCTTGCCATTTATTTGTCAGTTAACAATGGGTGGTTGTTTTCGTGATCGCACTGTAATGTTTTTCATGGTTACACCCACCGTACGTCACATGACTGGCTATCTACAAACATTGCTGAATCGGTCTAATTGTGTTAGCCTTCAAATTATTTTTCAGCAAAGTTTATCTTTTCCAAACATTTCTTTAAAAAAATCAAAGACAATGGAACAAAAACATGCACTCTGTACCAAATATCACCAGTGGAGTTGTCAGCAAGACAAGTCACTAATCAGATGTCAGTATGCTGATGATATCTTTCATAGACTACCTTTACAGCTCGCTATTATCTTCAGTATGGTTTTAAATGATGGCCGCTTCTGTGGATTTAGTTCCCATGTCTCTCGCATAATCCTGTAGATAAATTCCGGACAGCCTTCTGGTGCTTCCATTCGGTATCCCTTTTCAACATGCGTCAGCACCTCGGCGAGAGGCTATAAAAAGTAGGTGTAGGTTAACCCATAAATACATTTATACAGATACAACCAAAGTACTATTATAGACAACAGTCATGTTCTAGAATTTACAACAGGGGTTAAAAAAATGACAATTAAATAACCAGAAGTAAAGAAAAAGTATTTTATATACATTAAAAAGGGTACATTGTCATGGCTTTTGTGGGTTGGGATTGTATAACATACAGTATATATTTCTACTATAATTTATTAAATGTTAACTGAAATACCCAGTCTCTCGTAAATGATTTTGCAGCAGGAAGCATTCTTTTTTACTCTAGCTCAAGTTAAAGCAGTTTGGTTTGGTTTCAATCCTTGCATTTTGCTTGTGTCCTTGAGCAAAGCACTTTATCTACATTGCTTCAGTCTACCAGCTATATCAATGGGTACCAGCAAACTGCTGAGAGTAGCGTACCTGTCTCTTATACACATCTCAGTACTGTTCATAGGCTAACCACTTTCTAAAAATTGTACATTCTGAAATTATTTCACTATACAGAGGAGATATGAAAAGTATCCATTACAAACAAATCACCATACAGTAGGTATTGCATTGTATTTCTCTATAAAAAGGGAGACTGGAAGATTTTAGATGAAAAATTTCTGGTAAAAATATATAATCTGTGGTGAAATGGAAAAAAACCCTTAAAAATTCAATGAAACAATTGAATTGCTCATTTAAAAGAATAATATAATTATCTACTTCCAATGGGGCACATATTAAGTTTATCATGGTTTACATTTTACTACAAACATCCTTAATATTGATTAGTCAATCTAAGAGTATATGTTAAAAAATATATTAACTGAATTATTTTACTCTCCATTATAGGAACCAGATGATTTTTTCCAGTGAGCATTATTTTGTTGTTGTTTATAGCCAAGAAAACTAATGTTTAATTGAAAGCTAATAACTTTAAAGTAAGCAAAGATGTGTATAAGAGACAGGTACATATACACACATTGCATAATCTTTGTTTCTTGCTTTATTCAAAATGTTTTGGTTTTGGAAGCTGATTTCAACATTAGAAAAGCATAGCTTACATGAAGTCATATTATAGTAACTCGATTCCTATCAAATAATTAATAAAAATTCGCCATAGATTATCAAATATCCGTGGCTTCCAGGGGTCTTCGCCCCCTGGACCCCCACTGGGGCTCTAGGCGGCCCCCCCCCCCACACCCAAGTGAGGCTTGATTCGCTCCACTAGCACCCCCGTCGGGGCCTTTAGCCCCTCCGTCGGGCAGGTCCTGGCGCCACCACTGAACACACTCATTTGTTTGATGCTACAGTAACTGGGGATAAGCTCCAGCCCATATGGGCCTTAGTGGCTTGGGGTTACAAATAAATGTATGGATATATATATACAAATAATGAATGTTTATAAGTGCAATGGGAAGAATATTTTCATAAGTTGAAAGATTGACTGTTCCATTCGCCGAGCTAGAGCCAAGTTCAATGGAACAGTCAATCGTTCAATGAATGAAAATATTCTTTCCATTCCATGAATAAAAAACATTTGTTTTACAACACACCTAAAATAGATTCCTGTCATTTGATATTTTATGACAAAAATCTACCATTTTTCTGAATAGAGATTCTTGTCCTTTAATAATGTATGAAAAAAATCCACCCTTTTTCTAAATGGAACAGTCCAACATTTTTTTAACCAATCAAAAGATTGTAATTGGTTGAAGTCGTATCATATCCTAGGCGCTGTGCAATGCAGCAAAATGGATGGAGCAAAAATACACGGATGGAAGTAAAAATGCATGGTTGGACTAAATTTCCATGATGAGTGAGAAAAAGGGGTAAATAACCAACTAACCAATGTCACATGATACGAAATTCACCAATCAAATGATAAGGATCTATCTAGGTGTGTTATAATAAATAATAAATAACTAATAAACTTACAACTCTAGGATATGGAACCCTGCCATATGAATATAATTCCCACAAGAGAATTCCGTAACTCCACACATCAGACTTCACAGAGAAATTCTAAGTGTCAAATGAATATCAGAACAAATTAAAATGATTGTATCCAGATGAATATGTTCAGTAAATCATTAAGAACAGCCTGATTATGACTGATTTCATTTAAATCCAGGTTTCACTGAATTTAATCTCAGGACCATGGAAATGGGGAAAAGCATTTTCTATCCACTGATTATTAAGAAACATACATTATTACCAATAGGGTGACAGGAGTCTCAAATGTGGAAGAGGCCACTTACTGAAGATCTGGTTAAATAGTTTTTATTAAACACATCTAATTTACATATTGCTACACATGGTGGTCCCATCACCAGCAAACTCCATGAAGGCAGGAAAAAATGAATGCAATTATTATAAATTTGCCGGAGAGGGGTTAGCTTCCAGAATATATTTTGCTGCTTGCTTAAGTGTATGAATTTGTACTGATTTCCGGAAGATTCTCGCAACTCTATGAAGACTCAAGACGCCTGGGATAACAGTCAAACAAACAATGATATATGGCAAACAAATTTGAATATTATATTTCAAAAGTGTCATCCAGTTTCTTGCTTGTTGGTTTCTCTACTATTTTAGTTTCAAGTTGGTATCTCACTTTCATACTCCATTATTATTAAGAACTACTGTAGAAACTGTTTAAATGTGTTAACCACTAATTTTTAGGCAGCACACTGTATTTTCAATCCATACAGAAGAAAATAAGTAGATATTACTTATTATAAGTAGATATTAATAAGAATTACATTTTTTCTGAGAGCTTCTGGTGCTGTCCATTTGATAGGAATTTTGCCAACCTCTGTGTTCAAGTTGACATCCCTTGCCAGACCAAAATCAGAAACTTTGGCAACATCTTCTTCTGAAATTAGGATGTTACGTGCAGCAAGATCCCGGTGGGCTAAGTTCTTCTCCTCCAAATATGCCATACCTGAGGCTATGTCACTGGAAAGGGAATGAAATAAGTTAAATCGTAAGCCAAACTTGTACAGAAAATAATTTATTCACAAATTGTATGTATAGTTTGATTGAACTTGTATAGTCAACATTAATTCTCTTAGTTTAACTTTTAAGTATTTACTATATATTGACAAAAAAACATCTTTCATTTTTTTTCTCCATTATTTGTGTTAATGATTATGAAAAAGTACATTATTTTATGTTGTCTTATTATTAATCCTTAAAGATTTTGTTACAATTTCCTTTATGTACATCCTTTGTCAGATCAGAACAATTAAGATACAAATATTAATCCTTAAATTATGACCAGCCAATTTAAGTTCAAAAGAAAGAATATTGGAATGATATTGTTTAAAACATTGAGCACGGAAACTATCTATCAATATATCATAAGTCTACATAGCATACCTGGCAAAATTTAACTGTATTGGTTTTGTAATGACTGATCTTCCTCTCGATCTGAGATAATCAACCAGATTTCCCTAAAATTAGAAACAGCACAAAAATAGTTACAAAATTGCAAAGTCTGCATCATGCACTTCTTAGACACCATATCACTGTATATCTTAAGATTTGGTGACATGAAAATAAAGACCATGGCAGCCGCAATGCAGGACCACTCCCACAGACACAATTCTCAGCTTTTTTCCCAGGAAGAGTACTACATTTGTGAAATTGCGTATAGCCATGCTGTACACATGTCCAATGTTTAACCATCTCTTCTGATGATGAATATGTCCACTACAACCTGTATTTCACAGGGAGAGTTTAGCTTGATAGAATATAATCAGGGGTTCAACGGTCACCATGGTTCTGTACACACACAATGGTTACCACCAATTTTAACCAACTGTACTGTGCTATAACTTAGTCTTAAATTATTAGGAAGATAAAAAGAAACATAACAACCTTTGACATATATTCGAGTACAATGTAAAGAGGATCACCAATGACGAGTCCAAGGAAGGATACAAGGTTCTTATGTCGTAGAGTTCTGCAAAAAACAGAAACAACAACTTTCATTTCTTGATGTTCTCTAAATTAATTGATGTTAACTTCATTTCCACAGCAAGAATATATGTTGCAAAATGATCATGTACATATGCCAAAATATTTTTATCATCAACTTATTCTGTTCTATATTCTATTTTATATAAATTTTCATCCTTAACTAGCAGGGTTCTGTGTTCTTGTCTGTAGTTGTTTGTTAAGATAATAATAATTATTAATAATACTCATGTCAATATGCATGTCTTTTAATTAACAAATAATGATAATGATAAACACACATGAAGATTGATGCCTTTTTGTTTAATTAAATAATGATATTTAATGATGGACTCACGTCATAATTGATGCCTCCTTTAGGAATGTCTGAGCTGCAGATGTGTTGTCTTTCAGTTGCTTGATGGCAACTTTACGACCTTGATAATGACCTTCTAATACATCTGTAATGTAAAATAACAAATAATAAATAACAGTAATTAGAATTTTAAAAATAAAAACAAATACATTAATAGCCCTAATTTTAACATTAATAAGGACATAATCAACACTACAGTAATACCAACATTAATAGACTGCCAAAGACATGAGGCTTGTCATTCCAAAACCAGCGTACTGTCGCTAATTATTAACTGCCTAATTAACATAAGAATGTGCCAGTGTTGTATACTTTAGTACAGAGATGCAGTAATACTTTTACTCTTAACTTTTGCAATAGTAAGTTGATTCCAGTAAATGAACCATCATTTTAAATTTTACAATGTGGAGAATAGAAAATATAAAAAATTCAATTTTCAATTTTTAGTCCCTGAAGCTGCTTTTGGAATGACAAGCCTCATATTATATGGCAAATGCACATTGTATAGCAAACTCAAAACACCACACTTAAGTAATCAAATTAAAATATTTATGGATGGACTTCTACCTTACAATTAAAAAATTTATAAAACACTCACCCCCAAAATTTCCATGTCCTATTGTTGATCCCATATTAATATTTCGCTTATCAATTGACCAACCAGCTGTAAATATCAAGAGAGAAAAACAATTAATGAATATTCACTAAGATAAATCTGTTGATCTGATCTGTTGATGTTAAACTATTAAACTGGCAAAGATTCCCACCCATCTGAATAATGAGTATGTATATTTTGGTTTTTTTACTGTTGCTCATTAATCAATCTCATTTAATTTTGTTTTTATCTTATTTTGCTTTATAAATGAGTTTTTGTATCCATTTGTGAAATATTATCTCTACTAGTGTACTGTAAATACAGTAAGGACTGCAACAGTTACACAGTAATACTTTTAGAAACTTCAGTGTAGCACTTATATCAGAGAGGTACTTATTCATCATCATCCTCCACTTGAATCATCATTTCATCAGCAACATCCACTACATGATTCTTATCTATATCTGGTAAACATGTTGGGAAATTCCCCAGCCTCAAGAACTTGTTATTATTTGGCTTTCAGATTGTGAAGTCAGTATCCTAGTGTACTGAAAAATTCACCACAGGAAAGGATCTCACTGGTGCATTTAACAACACAAGAATGACCCCACTGTTGTGTTTCACCCTAAAGATATTCCTATAACAAAATGATAATAATTATAATTACCATAACAAAAATTGATAACGGCTACTTTAATAAACCACTGGGGGATACCCTCCGACCCCGGGAACTCTCCTGGAACTCTTACTCATTCTCCTCCTACTCTAAACCTTAATAAAACCTCTGTGATAAGGATGATGTTGACATTTCTTTCTTTCTTGTCGTTACTTACATTTTACAAATGACTCCTTATCTACTGAAAAGTCTTGCTTTCCTTCCTTGGGCAATGGTTTAATAAGTCTGGAGCATAGCCCATCAGCATCTCTCTCATAATGCTGGCAAATAATGTTAAAAATATAACAAATTTTAACTTTAATAATTCAAATAGTAATGAAGCAAACATTGATAATTTAAATAATGTGTTTATGAGCAACATTTAAGTTTGATTAATAATAAATAAAATAAACAAAAGTCTTTAAAAAATTCAAATAATGTAATTTTTATTAATTATCTAATTAATTCCTTTATACAATGCATGCTTAGGATTCTCAGCTTTAGAATAATTAGTTTGCATCAAGTCTTCTGACTTCAATGATATTCAGTTAATTAATTAGTATATGCTAGTTTCATTTTTTCAAATTAATCAATCAACAATTCTATCAGATATAGGTGTTCCATCTAAACTAATGAGAGTCCTTAATCACCAAAATGTACAGTAGGCATCTATTTCACATAACATAATTAATTATGTTATGTGAAACAGATGTCTACTGTACATTTGTTTCACATAACATAATTAATTAATCTGTATGTAATAAATCCTGAAATCATTATCATTTTGATGATATTCTAATTAATAAACTAACTGGTAACTGGTTATCCAGCTCTAAAAACTGGTGAACTTAATTAATTCTCCTACCTCAACTAACTGGTATAGGTTATCAAAATGTTCATCTTCATCAATGGTCAGCTTGTTGTCAGTATAGATAATTCTGTAATGTTCAACTTTTCCCCCTGCACAAACACAAAGGGCGTAGTCACCTTTGAAGTTTACGCTTTCCCTAACAAGGAACAATCCTTCAGTTAATTCCTTCAATAACTCTTCAGCACCTTCTCTTGATATTTTACCATGAAACCATCTGTAATTTGAAGTGTTTTTAATAAAAACTGGTTAGAATTCAATTTGAAATTTATGTAGCGTCCTCATCATATTTCATCAGAAAAAAAATATATGTCACCGTCAAATAAATGAATAATTATACTCTAGTTCGGCATTGACAATGTTTAATAATTGGTATAAAAAAAGTAATTAAATACTTACGGCATCATATGTAACTTGACACTTTCCCGCTTTTTAACAAAATTAGCTGGGATCATTCCAACACGTCCATTACTGTTCTTTGCTTTGTACCAATTGGGATCCTACCAGAAGAACACATAGCATCGTTTCTTTTTTAAATTAAAATTATCATTATCTACTGCAGGGGTGGGCATAAAAATCGGTCGGAGGGCCAAAGTAAATTTTTGATTTAACACCGTGGGCCGCACCCAAACTTTGATGTTTCCAGTGAGCTTCCAATAACCTCCAAGCAAGGAGATATAAAAATACCTCCTTGCTCCAAGCACTGCTTTTACATCACTTTATTCTCAGTTTTAATGTTACTATTGACATATGATTGGTGTCGGGCCGTAAAAACAAGGTGTTTTCTAGACAATTTTGATTGGCGGGCCGCAACCATAGGGTTTTTATTTCATTTTGCGGGCCGTACTTTGCCCACTTGTGTGATCTACTGTATGATATGTGGCAAAGACAAGCCAAACCAGTCACTCGTCGCAAATTGTGTTTCAGAGTAAATAGCAAAAACATGCTAGAATGTAAAATTTTTAAAAATCTATTTTATTTCACTAAACTAAGGTTCATGTATCTATACATCATGCTGTGCTGTTATTTTTCCCAATTTCAATGTTAAAACAACACTAAGTTGATCCCTGAGACCCACTGTCTGCAACACTGAGCAATACTTCGAGCAGAATTATTGGTAAACTTATTAAGTCTGATTTATTGAAATAAAGCTAAAAATATAAATTTTGAAAATTTGATAAAGACACTCAACAGTAAATAAAATGATTAAAAAACTGAAAACGATGTTCAAGATATAAATAAGATGAGGAACTCTCTGATGGTAATGAAGGCTGCCAGAGGATCTTGCAAAACAAGATGGTAACCCTTCTCTGAATTTGTTTTAGAGACATACTGTAATGTCCTTTGTGGTTGGGATACTGCATCGAGTAGTTAATCATCTAATTAAGTAGTTAATCAACCAACAAGTACAGTGCTTCAAATATTATACACGAATACATATTCACCTTTGTGGATGCTACAATTGTAATGATTTCTCCTTTACCAAATGCAAGATCATCTGCTGTTGAATTCCGAAATTCATACTTTGCAACACATTCCGTGCCTGGCAACCATATTTCTTGAGTCTACAATCAAATAAGTACGGTAGATATCAAATTCTAATTACAAATAGGGTTTCTTGTTTTTTTGCCTTTTTATACTATATCCAATTAATGTTAACAGCACAAAACAAATTTATATGTTCTCTCAGAACAAATGGCAATAATGAAGATGATTGAACTTGAATATATAATTACTATAACAGTGGAAAGACTAATCCTTGACTAATAACTTTTGCTTTTTATGATGTCCATTATGTGTAATTTTATTAATTGTAAATAAGGTACCTCACGGCAATAATGAAAAACAGCACTGTATTTGTTGATTTGTGCTTCGTGATTAAATAAAGTTTTACTATTACTACTACTTGACTGTTCATCATCACCATCACTATCATCTTTATCACCATCACTCTCATCATCATCATCACCACTGCATCATTACCACCATCACTACCACCATTACCAACCATCATCACCATCACTATCATCATTACCACCATCACTACCACCATTACCAACCATAATCATCACCATTACTATCATCATTACCACCATCACTACCATCATTCCAACCATAATGATCTCACAATCACTATCATCATTACCACCATCACTACCAACCATAATCATCACCACCATCACTATCATTTTTATCACCATCATTAAAACTCACTTACATTGGCCATTTTGAATGAGACTATTTTTCTTTCTTCTACGATACAAATGACATCAGATACCTACAAGCTAAAGAATCAACAAATAATAAATATTGTTATTTTTGACATCTTAATAAATTTAAATAAGAAAAGTCGGAGATGCATTAGTCTATAGCATAACATACAAATGAAATGAGTACAGTAGCACCTTCTTTAGACAAACAAAATTTATTGAGACACAAGATTTCACTAGCTTGAGCTAGCTTCATCAGGTGAATAAAGTGAAAAACACCAGTGGATCAAACTGATCACTCAAATTATGTAAATGAGCAATATAAACAAAATACAAACAGAATGTCTGGCTGGAATTAACAGACTAGGAATAATCAAAGCGTCATGGATGAAGGGTCTTATAAAGTGGTAAAAAGTACACTGTAAAAACAGCAGATGGAAAAAATTGGGGATGATATAGACTGATAAATAGCATAAAAAAATCAACAGAAAACAATATAATAAAAGGCATAATGATAATAACATTAAATATAATAGAATATGATATAAATTAATATAGAATCAATGGTAATGGAAAATAGTCAATGATAAAGATTTTGCAAAGGAATAATCTGTTTAATAGTGTGAGAGGAATCCACAGTCTCACTTCAGTAAATTTAATGTATTCATAATTTTAGTTTAGAAAGCATTTGCAATTGATAGCAATAGAAAGGGTATAGGTAGGTTTGGAAAATTATTAGTCACCAACATCAATAGCGTCTGTGTGTGAGATCTACCATTTACTACATTATGTCTACAATACATAATAATTATATCGATGATGTATCTACCATATATACTTTTTATATTTTTTTTCATAAAACTAATTATTTTCAGCATATTAGATTTTCAGGTCCTAAACTTTGGAACTCTTTATCATCTCCTTTAGTAAATGCCAATTCCAATAAATGTCTTTCTTACCAGACACTTAAATGTTATTAATTGTATCCATTTATTATCTCTCCCCTTCTCTTTGCCACATCGGTTAGTCAGTCTAAATCTGATTTGTTTTGCGTCTATGGTTTTTGAGGATCACTAAAAAATAATGTACCTTCCTTTATTCCTGAAGTACAGTAGTTATAATAAAACACAATAAGTTGTGTCTGTAAATTGTATAATAATTCAAATAGGTCAAAATTTGCTTCTAAATGCACTTTATATTCCAGTTTTCAATCAATGTTTAACAGAACACAAGGGTAAAATGTTTTTAACCCAGAAAACAGTAGCAGTATGCTCAATAATTCTAAATTGTATAAAGTTGACAACAACATATACCGTATTGTAAACTCAAAATGTTTAAATCTCATGCAATAATTTATGACAATGCTGTGGTTGTCTAAAACAGATATATAAATTGCCACACAAGGGTTAGCCTCACTCCTGATATGGATGCCTTGGTAGTTATAATATACTTAAACCATAATTATTAGATAATAAGTGGATTTTATGAAATAATAATAATATATTCTCTGATATTGGTAATGGCAATGATAATATTAACATGTAATGGGCTGCCAACACAAAGAATGTTTTAAGAGATCTCACATCATCTCAATGGCTTGAAGAAGGGAAAAGCAAATCGTCAATTAAAACTATATGACTATAAAGAATGCTCCTACATTGTAGGTATATCTCTTTGATAGCAATGACTTTGAGGGTGCATCGTTGGAATTCAAATTAAGATCGAATACCCTTCCTCTTGATGGTAAAGTAGCAAAATGGTCTTATGGCCCTAATGCTAATGAGCTCTGTAAATGCTGTAATATAAACGAAGAGGAAAATATTTTATTTATTTAATTTTTTTTATTTTATTTCGAAAATCATCCAACAGCGGAAGCCAATTACAGGATGTCTTATAATACATATAAATATATAGAAAAATACAAACAAGTGAAAGATAAATTGAAAAATAACATTACAGTATAAAATGGAAAAGAAAAATTT